CAGCGGGTACTTGCAGATCTTCTGCACGGGGGGCAGCAGGAAGCCGTCAATGGCGATGTCGATCATCTGCTGCAGCAGGCGGCAGGCCTCGAAGAAATGTCGGTAGCGGCCCTGCTTCATCAGGCCCGCCAGCTCGGCGCAGGCGCCCGGGTGGTTGTTGCAGTACTCGGAGTAGATGGCGAAGCCTTCTTGCTGGGAAGGGGGCGCACAGCTCTGTCAAGGCAGGGCGGCTCTGGACCCTGGCGAGGACGGACAACACCCAGCGCCTCCCCGCCACCCCCGGGGAGGTTCTTGGACAGGGCGCCCCGTGGGAAGGGGCCACATCCAGACCCTGGGGGTGGAGGGAGAGGCTGCCGAGGACGCAGAGTTCCGGCCCACGCCAGGCCCCTTCCACAGACCCTGAAAGGGCGTGTCGGGCACACAGGCCGCCCTGGGGAGCTGCGCCCCCTGTGTCACCCCCCCCTGTATCGCCTGATCCAGGAGAAGAGAGAGGTGCTGTCCCTGCGCCTGGCTGCCGCCTGTCCTTTCTCCTCTCCCGGGCAGGTGGGCGCAAAGCCCCATCTCCTGGTCACAGGTCTCCTTCCCACCCTGCCACCTGCCATCCACGTAGGGGCCACCTCCTCCCCTCCCCCGCTCCTCCTCCAGGCTGCCCCACACCCCCAGGATTCCGAGGGGGCCCCGCCCAGCCCCCTGAGGCTCCTCGGCCCCAAGGCCGCCTCCTTCACACAGGTCCACCTGCCCGCAGCTACGGTGTCTTCGGCCTGGGTCCTACCCCAGTTTATACCTGGCTGTCCTCTGGCTCACCACCTCTCCAGCCAAACCCCTCTTTCTGCGTCCCTGCTGCTGTCACCCTCGCCCAGGCCCACCTCCCTGTTTCCCCAGAAGCAGTGACACCTCTGTCCCCAAGCTAGGCTCTCCTGTCCTCCACAGCAAGATCCGCGTGCCACTCTGCAGCCTCACCTTGGCTGACCTGGAAGCTTCTATCCTTCGACTTGTTCCCGTGAACCTCCTGCTCTGGCCAAACAGTTCTCCTACGAAGTCCCAAACAGGCCCAGAGCCGTCACGGGCCCACCCCTCCAGCCGGAGACGGCCACCAGCAACAGCGTCTCCAGCCGTTTACAGACGGTCCACCCGAAGATCGGCCCCCATTCCACAGCCACTGTAACGCTGCTGGGCCCAGAGGAGCGAGCGCTACACTAGCCCGGTCATTGGTGTTAGCACTACTGGCACTGTGCCCTGACCATTCTGGCCAGGGACGGAATCTACTTCCTCTGAAATCTGTTGTATTAAAAAGTGACAGCCAGTCACCAGTTAGCGAGCTCAGGCCAGCATCAGGAGACTGTTCTGAGGCAGGTACAGGCCTGGGTCCCAGAGCCGCACGCATTTGGCCTGATTCCACTTCTGCCAATTACTAATGTGTGACCCTGCGTCACTTACTCTCTGGGTGAAGCCTAGCTTCTGCATCTGGAACATGGGGAAAATAATCATACCTGCGGCACAGCAGTACAGGAGCTGACATACAGCCCTGAACGCAGCGATTAACATATAATAGACACGTGGTAGGTATTATTAGAAACTACCCCAAATACAACCCCTAAGTCGAAATTGCATAAAATTGAAAAGATTTTGAAATAATGGACTTGGGGTGCTCAGATAAAGATCAACCATATACAGCAGTCCCCTTAATTTACAAGTGACACCTCCATCCTGCAGGAAACTAATCTAGCAAACAAAGAAAGAAATTAAACAAAGTGGAACAAAACAAAAAGAACCCCTGTGCTTCAGGGAGAAACATCTCAAAATGAATTAGCGGGGGCTTCCCTGGTGGCGCAGTGGTTGAGAGTCCGCCTGCCGATGCAGGGGACACGGGTTCGTGCCCCGGTCCGGGAAGATCCCACATGCCGCGGAGCGGCTGAGCCCGTAAGCCATGGCTGCTGAGCATGCGCGTCCGGAGCCTGTGCTCCGCAAACGGGAGAGGCCACAGCAGTGAGAGGCCCACGTACCGCAAAAAAAAAAAAAAAAAAAAAAGAGTTAGCGGGACGCTATCAAGTAAGAAGTGGAGGGTGACGTACATGTTCAAGAAAGCAGGACCCTATTTCACTCAGGTGAGGTTCCTCTTGATTGTTCTGTTTCTCAAGGTCTTTCAGGAACTTTCTTTGGAATTTGTAAATATCTTCAATGTTTCCAAAAATGGTGGCGAGCTGTGCGACCGTGAACATCGCGGTGTGCTTGCGACACTGTCGAATGTAGCCCTACAAGATAGGAAAGCAATGCTTGGTTTCAAATATTAGAGCTCAAAACTTGGTACTGTCACACTTTTGCTAAACTCTTAAGATAACCATTCTCTCACTCCTAAGTGCATTTCACAGCCGGGAAGGCCCGTCCAATACAGATGCCATCGCTGGCTGAGCCGCTCAGGGAGCAACGCTCACTGTCATGGCCCAGAGCCAAGAACGGCTTAGCCGAGGGCTCCACCATCACCCAGTTTCTACAGGAAACAACACAGATCCGTAGATATCTAATCTGAGGCCTAATCAGAGCACCACTAATTCTCTACGCCCAATGCCCTGGTTGTACGCGGCTTGGGTAGGATATGGGGGTAGGAAGGAAAGGCCATAAAAATGTGTAACAATTATCCCCAGATGGGCACCGTGTAATTACACAGACTGAACTGACTATACGGTAAAACACAGACCACTGACTATCGGGGATGAATTTTAACAGGCTATAGGCCAGCAGGTCTGGTTTACGTCTGGGCTTCCTCATCCGTAAATGAGGGCGCGTGGGACCTGCCCGTGAGTGTCATGGGGTCGAGTTAAGCCGGTGAAGGGCACGGTCGTGCTCAACAGGTATCAGCAGTGACTGTCTCCCTAAAATGCCACTTCAGAGGAACTCCCTCAACTGCAGGTTCACACGGAAAAGGACGGCTGCCACAAATACACCCAACGCCGGGGGGTTCCTCATCTGGGGGTCAGTCCAACCACACAGCAGGGCGGGGTCGGGGGGGAGCGCGGCCCGCACTTGGCCTGCCTCCTGCTGGACCCTCGCAGCTGAACGGAAGGTGCAGGCATCAGCATTCACGGCCAGGACGCCGTGGTGACCCGTGGGGCGCACAACGGTCTAGCGAAGCACTCTACAGAAGCCACAGAATTGAAAGATACCACAGGGGAGAGACTTGGCTGCTGAGTGGGATCCCAGACCCTGCAGGACAGAGCCCGGGACGTCGCCAGACGCCTGCATCTGCGTGACTCGGGGTCTCGCTGTGCGCCAGAGATGAAAGGCAGTGGTTGGTGGACGGTGACAAACCTTCGGTTCTTCACCAAGTCAGCTGGGTCTCACTTACAGGTGCCGCCTCCCCTGAATGTCACTCCCTCTGAATACCCGTGGCAGCTACGTCCCGCAAGGAGGTCGCTGCATCTCACCCTGAAGACGGCCGGCCGCTCACGCTGCCCGGGGTGGACCGGCATCTGGTGAGCGAGTGGCCTGTACAGGGACCGCAGGCGGCGGTGGCGACGGGGCTCCAGGAAACGCGTGCGCAGAGGGTCTGGCTGGGCGCGGAGCTGCCACACGGCACGGCACGCGGTGCCACAAGGCCCCCAAGCTCACCTCGCAGATGTCCCGGAGGTGCTTGATGTACACCCGCTCGGTGTCCATGATCTCCTGGATGACGTTGGTCCGCATCTGCTGCTTGCTCTCGGGGTGCTTGTGGCGGCCCCGGCCCGCGTCCTCCGCCGGCTCCTCGCCCGCGGTGCCGCTGGAGCCCTCCGCCAGCTCCTCCTGGTTGACCCGCAGCTGCGGTCACACGCAGGGCACAGGTCAGCGGGGCGGCACCCGGCCCGCCCCCTGTTTCCACTCCCCAGGGACGGTGAGGAGGGTAGCGGGAGGCGGGGCGCGCCGGGCCCGCACGGGCCGAGCTGAGCGTGGCAAACGCAGCGGCGGCGCCAGCCGCCCCGCTGACCCCGGTGGGAATTCTCCCTTCCCACACCCCAGCCTCTAGGAGGTCTGGTTCAAACGACGACGAGGGCACAGTGGCCCTTGCCCCTGAGCCCCCAGAGGCAGGAAGACACTCACTCGGACGAAGCTGGCGGGGAACCAGGCCTCCCTGTCCGCGCTGCGGCCCCACCACCAGTCCTTGTGGGAGGCTTCCAGGACCTGGATGACGTCCCCGGCCTTGAAGCCCAGCTCCTGCTCGTCCATGGTCACGTGGTCCCACAGGGCCTCGGCGCAGACCACGCTGCCATCGCTGATCAGCTGGAATGCAGAGGCGGGTGCTCAGCGCGGAGTGCGGGGACCCTGAGCTCGCCCGGCCCCGGAGTGTTCACGCCGATGGCGCTCAGCCGATGCTCAGCGTGTGACGTCACACGACAGGGATGAGGAGAATTACCAGGCGGGCACCCCTCCTGTGCTCTTAAAGGAACCCCCAGGTCCACTCATCTGGGCATCAGTCATCCAGCAAGTGTGACTGTCTGGACGCTTCGCCCCGGAAAGGGCTTCTGAGCAGCCAAACTAGACGTCCTGGAGCCGAGCCGTCAAAGGTCAGCACACCCTTTCCTGCAAGCCCTCACGGCGTCACCCAGAACCTCCTCTCCGTTCTTTCCTCACAATCTTAGCAGACTCTGCATCTCACTGTGTCATTTACTGCAATTAAAGAGAACACAGCACGACGTCTGGATATTCAGCAGGTAATTTAAGCTCGTCTGTAAGCCGGCTGTAGGGGCTGAGGGCCGTGCAACCACTCAGCTCCCGGGATGTCATGGGGACACCGTGGATCCCATAGCAACAACTGGTGATGTTGCCAGAGAAGTTACACTCCACGCGCTCTGTTCGTGAGCTCCAAAGGCTCGAGGCGCCTTCTGGAAAGACTTCTGTAAAAAGGCCTAAAGATGCAGAGGGGCGGGGAGAAGCCCAGATCCGTGGTGAGAAACACGTGGTTAAGTTCAGCTCTGCCGTCTGCTAGCAAGTCGTTCAGCCTTAGTCTCAGAGTGTTTGCTAAAATGTGGACGGTAACTAACGTTCCCTTCCTAGATTTATTATAACAAATGTAGGGAAGGCATATCCTGAACCGAGAAGCCCTCTCCACGCATAAGGATGGCTGCTCTGACCGGGAGGGATGTCTTTAGTTAGTTACCTGCAACACTGAATCACATAAATCAACCTTGAAAATGCAAGAAAACCATACTGGCTTTCTAACAAGAATTCTAGGTTTTAGCATATGTTCACTAAGAAATAATCAGAGAGCAAAGTACGAGTGGGTTCCGGGGCCCTGAAAACCGGGCCTCCTGCACTGGCTGCTGCCGTGTGGAATTAAGCCCAGTACCTCGTTGATGGCCAGCTGCTCCCCGCCCGGCTGCAGGTACCGGGGGTTGGCCCGACAGAGGTCTTCATAGCTGTAGTCCTCCTCGCTGCCATTGTCATCCGCTAGGGCAGATGACTCCGCACCGCCATCAGAAGAAACTGAGCGAGAGAAAGAGAGAGAGAGAGAGAGAGAGAGAGAGAGAGAGAGAGAGAGAGAGAGAGAGAGAGACGGTGCAGTTTAAAGGACACAGCTAATGTCAAAAATATAACCACAAAACCTATGACCTCTGAGAACGTGCCCTCAGGGGAAAGTAATCATTTGTATCTAACCCAGAATAAGAGACCATTAGAAAATGTCTACTGATCTAGTAATCCAAAGGTAGCAGTTGAGGCTAAGGAGAGCCGGGGTTGAGTGTCCCTGTCGGTGAGAAAGGGGACACTTCAGAGACTACCGCCAACAGTGACGCACAGGGTTGTTTTGCGAGTCAGGATACTGAGTGAACGATGTGTGATTTAGTTGGAAATTTGTGCTGCACAGCACAAATATAAAAGATACAGATAATGTTTCTAACTCATGTGTCAATAAGCTTGAGGAGGAAACGAAAAGTGGAAAATATTGATACAATCCTTTTTTAAAAAAGTGTCCTGCTTCCGTCGTTTCCCCGCAAGGCACAGTGAGGTGCTGCTAAAATCAGAAGGTGCTGACGGTATCGTAAGTGAAGCCATGCACCATGCTTCCTAGTTGTCACAGAGCGAAGGGCCACAACTCACAGTGTCAGAGTGAGCAGTTAGCTGGCACCTTTACCAAAATGAGAAAGCCCTTATGAGGATGGGTGTGGCATTTTGGACGGACCTCCTGGCACTCAGATCTCCTGCTGGGACAGTAGGCCCCTCACCAAGGCTCGTCTGTCATTGAACGTCCGCTGTGAGGAGGCCAAGGCCCCATGGCACAGGCACCTGGCTCTTGCCTGAGGACGCAGTGCGGCTGGCCTTGGGCACGAGAACATCTGACAAAGGATGGGACCGGAAGGTAAGCCTCAGGGTTAGAGCAAGCACCGGGGCTGCTCTCGCAGGGCCTGAGCAAGGGAGTGGCAGGTTTGAACCGAGCCCCCGGTACCGCAGAAAGACACCAGGTGTTCGAGTGACCGAGGCCCGGTCTGACCCGTAGCCCCGCCCCTTCCGGGCGGGGACCGGAACCAGGCAACTCAGACTCTCCCAGCTCCACACGCTTCCGCTGTAAACGGTAGTTTCTTTTTGGAGAATTAGGTGGGATGATGTGTGTCACGTTCCCAGCGTCCTTGGTCCGTGGCTGGGACTCGCTCAAAGGAGCCACCGGGGTGATGGCAGCGAGCGCGGTCGTGGCTGGGCTGAAGGAGCGCGCCTTGGCCTCAGCACGCGGCGGGCGGGGCGGACGCTGGGCCCAGGAGACCGCGGGGAAGGCGGGCCAGCTGGATCGGGAGGGCTCCCCGAGCCGCAACACGGAACCGGCCGCCGGAAGCGCAGTGCGAGGACCCGCACGTCCAGCTGAGAGAGGGGGAAATCAACGATGATTCGGAAACTCCCGAATTACTGGGAGAACTTTCCAGAAAGGGAGTCTGGGGAGGAGCCGGTGGGGCAGGAGGGTGAAGGCCAAGCTGGATGCTAGTGGGATAGCTCCGTGCGGCCTGCTTCCTTCAAGGACCTGAGAGTCGGGATTTCTAGTAACTTTACCCTCGCGTCCGGGACGGGTCTACTTTCTAAATTGAGGAATCTTTTTAAAAATGAGATATTTTCTTATTTTAAATTTCTGTTTCATTTTATTTTGTAAAGTGAGAGATTTCCTAGTCTTTATTTTGTGCTGAGTCTTCAACATCTGATGTGCATCTTACATTCCCAGCCCATCCCCTCTGGACGAGCCACGGTCGGGTGCCCTGCAGACACTGTCCGGCCCTGCCACTCGCTCGATGCACACCTCCCATGGGTGTGTGTGGGCGTGTGTCCGTGTCCATCCTCAGGCCCCGTGCGGCCACTCCGGCTGTGCGCTGTGGTCACAGCGCTCTCAGGCACAGGACACGAGGTCACCTGGCTGTTGCTGGGGTGTGTCTGGGGGGTAGGAAGAAAGCCCAGAGGAAGCAAACGCACTTGCGGTAAAGGCACGAGCCTTTCTCATCAGGCTAGCAGGGAGGTAACGAACGGTAAGGCTGCAACCCTCCTCTAACCGGGGCCCTCGGGGCAGCTGCCCCAGCACTGCGTCCACTAGCACGGTGGTTAACAGCGGGCCTGGTCTGTCGGGGCCCAGAGCACCGAAGGCCGCGATGAGCCCCAAGCATCCCTCCTCCTCCCGTCTCGGCGGGACTGCTGCGCTCAGGAAAGTCAAACACCTGGGCCCCTCCCCACAGTGGAGTCAGAAACCACGCTGTCCCTAAAGACCCTCCGAACTGCGTTTCCCAGGAGAATTCTTTACCACCTCGTCTGGCGTTGCTACGAAAATCAGTAAAGGGGAAAAAAAGCCAGGTGTTAACGTGCAAACCCAGAGTTCACAGGAGTTTAACGGAAAAAGGATTCTGTCGAAAAAAGGCTGAACCTTTACGGGAGGCAGAGGGTAGAGATATCTGGAAACAGACGTGAACCTCACATGCTGGACGAGTGTCTGACCGCATCACGAACACCTGGAAGAGAGCTCCGGCCGAGGGGCCTCACGAGAGCGTTTGGGTCCCTCGGGTCAGCGTGTCCTGAGCCACGGACACGAGGCGGTCCCTGTGCTGTCAGCCCGTTCGGCGGGGTAGGGGCGGGGCCTGGGCGGGAGAGACGCCGTGTGTCCGGGGACCAGCAAAGGAATCGGAGCGAAAGCACCTGGCAAATGTCCTAGCTTGACCAACCTTCCAGCTAAATGAGCTGGGGCCAGCCTCTGGGCTTCTTCCACCCCACGTGCCCATCTGTACGATGGGCACAAGTCCACACGGCCCATCTGTTAAGTGGTCACTCTTCTGCCTCACGTCCCACCTCTGACCCGTCCGCAAATCCGGACCCTCCCCCCAGCACGTGTCCAGAACCTGCCGCTCCCCACGGCTCCCCACAGCTCCCCACGGCTCCAGCCTCGGCCACCTCGAGGTGGGTCACTGCAGAAGCCCCTCTGCGCCCCCGTCCCACCCCGCCCCCTCCACGAGTCGCACCAAAGCGGCCACAGTGATAGTGCTAAACCCCCC